TGATTACCCCTTTTGACCCCCCCCCCCCAATCAATCAGTGTGCTCAAAACATTCCTGTAATGCTGAAGAAGCCTCCTCTGTCCACACTTTAACTGTTTTGGGGATCAGCTCCACAGAGATGTGTTCTGACATGCCCAGGTGTGGAGCTGCTATGGCCTTGTATGCTCCTGGGATGTTGCAATAAACTTGGTCCAGGATGTTATTGTCCCTGGTTGGAAAATTGATGAATCACTGCTTTAAATTCCACATGGTTAAAGTCTCCAGCCACAGTCACAGCTGCTTCTGGGTTTGCATTCATCTGCCTGCTGATCAGGCAGTACAGCTCCTCCAGCGCTAGCTTAGCGTTAGCTCATGGTGGTATATAGGCGACTACAATCGTCTTACCCCGCTTTTATTCACGGTGTTGCCTCCATCTCCTAGGCCACAAAGGGGGGATGGTGAGAGCCGTAGTGGTCTGGTGTAACTCTGGTGGAATAACGTCCGGCTTCATGGATGCCTCAGTCATCATAACATTGCTAAAACAACAAATGTAATGGTTGCCTAAGACCTTTGCACAGTACTGTATGTGCCCTGTATCCAGATCAGCTCAGTCTCAGAGAAATATTTCTTGAATTAAAACTTCACTCTGCTGAATAGGAAGGAGTTTGTGAATGCTTACGTGAATCACGCCTTCAACACATCAGTGGAGGGTGTGTTCCGGGAGTTCAAGCGAGGCTTCTTCCAGGTGTGTGACCGGGAGTTGGTGAAGCTGTTCCGGCCAGAGGAGCTGCAGGGAGTGCTGGTGGGCAAGGATGTCTATGACTGGGCAAAGCTGAAACAGGTACAGTCATCTTCTAGTTTCTTTGCATCTACACTGATTTATCAGGTCTTCGTGTGTTTGATTTGACTATGTGAAATGTGGTTACTGTCTTTTTTAACTTCAATTAGAAAACTGTTTATATTTGGGAGTACCATGATTTCCACCCCACCATACAGATGTTCTGGGAGGTTTTTGAGGAACTAACTGAAGAACAGAAGAAAGATTTCTTTAGTAAGTATTGCACCACATTTTAAGAGTTTCTATGGTTCAAACCTGTAGGCCTTTGAAAAATCCTTATTATATTTGTGTGTTAAGATGTATGTAATCAACAGAACAGATGTACACAGCTGTGACACTGACTTTGCAGTATAGCTGTCATTACACTGTACCTCTGGAATTATTAGTTTTCATGGGAGAAAGCAATATCGTGTTGTTGAAACAGTTATTTGTATGTGGTGACTGTGTTTAAGGAAAATCTAATATAATTTATCATCATTATTCCCATCTTTTTAAATAAATAAGCTTGACAGTACTTTGAGAACACAGAACTCCAGCAAGGCAGAATTTGGCTGCATGTAAAGCCACTTTAAAGTCAGGTTTCCAACTTCCTGCTACACTTGTCTTCACTCCAAGTGCTCAGCAGCACACTTTCACCACAAGGGGGCTCACACATACATTCCACAGCCCTTCCAACACCCATAATAGTGAAAAATCATTTTTTAAATTCCTGGATCTGGATGGCGATCCAGATCAGCACCAAACTCTGATGGATTGTTCTGAGGTCCATACCCTACCTTTCCAAAACTTTAAGTAAAACCCATTTGTTTCTTTAAGGGTTATGCTGTGAACAAACCAACCAAGCAACAAACAAACAAACACTGGTAAAAACATTACCTCTGCCTTGACAGAGGTAATAAAGCAGAGATACACAACATGTTGTTATCCCATTTACCTATGTGTTCTTAGGGTTCCTGACTGGTTTTAGGAAGGTTCCTATTCTTGGAATGGACCAGATCCAGATGAAGGTTCGGCCTAAACTAACTGAGAATGGCTCCCATGATCAGCACTTCCCTGAGTCTCTGACATGCCACTCTATTCTGGAGCTGCCCTTATATTCAACCAAGGGTATCATGCAGGACAGACTGATAGAGGCTCTAAAACCAGAGAGAGGATTTGTCAGTCTGTGAAGGTGGATCATCTGCTACAGAACAGGAGCATGTCCTGTGTCTGTGCTGGGAAGGTGTGTGTCTGATTTCTTTTTTAGGATCACCTTTCCTGTGCTACCTCAGGCTAAAAACAAAAGCACTGTACAGAGTACACATATAGCTTGACTTGTAAGAGTACACTTTAAAAAGAGTGACCAAAGAGCAGCATCTTCAGTCCAATAGCTCTACTGTATAACCTCATAGCTGAAGGCATTTTAACTGAATAATTTATGAATATAATATTTTATTTAGTTTTATATCTTCTCAGAAATTAAGTAACATTTTTAGTGCATTTTACTTAGGACAAATTTAACCAAACAAAATAAGTGCAATTGCCAGTTTACTATGTACACTTTACTAAATCTAACAGTCTTATGTAACACTCCTGTAATATCTCTGATCTCTGATCAGTGTTCTTTCTGATTCTGTGGGGGGAGATATCAGTTCAACTTTATGGTGAGTTTTGAGTTTGCAGTTTGTGGTTCTGTTGTATGATATATTGAGTAGTAAATGGGAACTGGGGCAAAATATTATTTTTTATTACAGTCATTTAAGTTAAAAGTGGTATGTAAATCAGATGCAAGTTTAAGTAATTTATGTTGCATTTTGGGGTGCTGTTGTTTTGCCTTGTATGTAACTGTGGTCTTGAGTCAATAAAACAATCAGACATCAAAACGGCTCAGTGTAAAAATATATTTTTCACAATATTTTATTTGAACATTTTGGAACATCTCTGCTGATTGTGAAGGCCACAGCATATGTTTCACATCGTTTTCATACTCAAAACTATTCAGTGACCCATCATGCCCTGTGGATGGGGGTGCTGTCATCCTGGAAGAGACCACTCATTTATTTATTTTTTAAATTGTGTTCATCTTGGCATTAACCTTAAATGTCTGCAAAGGCATATGGTTTCAAATACTACACAGCCACATATTACAGAAATGATAATACTGTACGTACAGTAGGGCATACAGTGCTAGCCTAAATACAGTATCTCTTCTGTTGAAAATTGAATTTATGAAATTAAATTGAACATACCAAACTATTACTCAAATCAAAAAGTTGAGAAATTTGAAGCCAATGAACAAAAAGGTTGGTCACTCAGAAACAGCAGCATGGAACTGAAGAGAAACAGCGTTAACATGGTAGTAACGCTGGATAGCTGTTGTTAGTGTCCCATGCAATGTGTTTCTTCCATAGAATGTGGTTTCTTCTTGTTCTGAGCAGGAATATTGAAATGCAGCTAAAGAGACAGAGCACCCCAAAACAGCATCCTTTGTCTTTGCAGTACATTGGTAGATGGAAGTGTGGCTACGTGGTGTAGTGTTATGTTAAAGACAAAGAAAACAGACCACTAGATGGCCTTATTCCTCTGCTTATTAACTGGCTGGATGAAACAAAGGCAGCTGGGATGAGCTCACTAAGCAGACTAGTGCAGCTTTCTATAACAACCCTGGAAATTTAAAGCTTATAGAAAATAGCAGAGAAATGAAATGCACACTATTCCAGAGTGAGAATGTCAGCGTGCTGTAATGCTACATGAGATATAGACTACCATAAATAAATAAATGACTAAAACTATGGCCAACACATAGACAGGATAACATTATTACTGAATTGCCTTGTTTGACACAGAGTAGCTCAATAAAGAGATATTAGCTACAAGAATGCCATGTGCCCTTTCCTCAGGACATTCCAGTTTCTAAAAGCAAACCAAGGCTATAAAAGGGAAATACTTTTTGTTTCCCTTGTGGTCCTCGAGCCTTCTGTGTGAATTCCGGCCGAATGAATCAAGCAGCTCCTGTTATGAATCCAGGTTATTGTGTGTTGTGCCTCATTGTGCCAGGCTTCTATTTAGAGAAAAAGAACCTAGTTATACCATTTAGTGGACATCCGTTGTATTCATTCAGTCATTTTCCCCCTGTACGAGAGGCTCGCGTCAGAGGAAAGATGGGCACGCGCGCGTATGTGCGCGCGCACGGGCCGGTCCGTCTCTACGCCGTAATGAGACATACAGTATAACTGTGCGGAGCAGGCTCGCGGTCACACAGCTGGAGCCTCTGCAATGAAGTGAGGCAGGCAGTCTTTAGAAAAGTGTGTCCGCACATGGACCGCGAACATGGAGAACTGTGAGAAAAGGCTACAAGGCGGCGCTGGGTCTCCCTCGGTTTGAGTTCAGCGGTGACATTAAGTGTGAGGCTGTGGACTTACAGAAAGATTGAGCATCTCACAGCAACGGGGTGTCTGCATAACAATGGTAAGTTGACATCATGGTTACTAGATTCACACAGCGGCATAACTGGTCCAGTAGCGGCAGCATCATGTTACTGTGGCGCGGTCGGTGAGCTTGTTTGTAGTGTTTGTTTGGAGGTGACGAGCAGTGGCCAGGAGGGTGACTGTGTGTGTGTGTCAACTTGGGACTGTCGCTGAGGCCAAGTGGAGAAGAGCTGGATTCAGCACCAGTGTAACAGCCCCGAGGAAAGATTACGCAGTGTTTGGGATCTGATAAAAGTGTTCAACCAAGGATATCAGCGCACATTACCACGGCGAGGCCTGCTAGTGTTTTAGCTAAGTAAAGCTGCGAGAGGGACTTTAAACAGGCTGGGAAAGGCTGCTGTTGTTTTTAATGGCAACAGTGATGAATGTAACAATGCTGCTGATCGACTGGATAAACATGATAAGGAAAACAAGGAAGTTAATAGCCAGTGATAATCGTATAGCAGCTGAACTTGTTACCCTGGGGAATATATGATGATGACCTCATCAGGTCCAGTGCCAACTTCTGACCCTTTTAGTCAAAGTAATGGCACACTGACACACGCTCACGTGCACACACACAAACATAGATTATGGTTTCCTGTTACAGTATTGATTTGGTGTGCCATTTGTGCTGGATGGATGCTGTTTGAGATGGAGCCAAACACTGCTCATCAACATCACAGACAAGGAAAGAATATGCTGCCCTCACTGTAGCCTTCTGTAACCTTGTACATTGTAATCAGGTCTTCACCACTTCATTTAACCATGTTCTGTCTTCTCTGCCTTTGATATTTCAAATATTTTGTCAATTCTGGTCCAGTGCCTGGAGTCAGTGCCTGCAGCTGACCTCATCTCAAGCCCCTTTCCCTTTGGGCCAAAGGTCAGAATGATCAACACAATCATTTAGGCTCATTGTGTTGTATTTGATTTGTCCTGTCAGATGACTCCCCACCAGTGAAGAACTTTGCTACCCAGCAGCCCCTCCTCCTTTGATCCCTGACGCCCTGACAAGTATTTTCAATCTCCTTTTTCCTGTTATACCTTTCTCTGTCTCCCTCCAGCCCCTGAAGCCCTCCAGTTCAAGCCCTTCTCTACACTCCTCCCTTCCAAAACCCTTCTCTGATTCAAACATGGAATCCTCTGAAGAAAAAACTGCAGCCCAGGACAGATGTCTTGACACCAGGTGCAACCCCGGTCGCTCTGATCTCAGTGGACTATACCACCTGGGTCGGACGTTGGGCAGGGGCCACTTTGCGGTGGTTAAACTGGCTCGTCATGTCAACACTGGACAACTGGTGGCTGTCAAGATGATTGACAAGACAAAACTTGATGTTATGGCAACAAGCCACCTCTTACAGGAAGTGAGGTACAGAAAAACCATTCTTAAAGACAGAGCATGAGAAGAGAAGGTAGAGAAGGTTATACAAAGGCTGAGAAATAAAAGTCAGGGTACTTTGTAGTCAGCTATATTTTAGCCCAGATTTAATGGGATTTCAAACGTATATATTTATATTTAAACAGTCCCATATTAAGTTTAATGGGCTGCTATTTCAGGGCTCAAAGCATCCTTATTTAAAATACTTACTTCTTTGGATTACTCATAAAATATTATCTTACCAATGTTACAAATTATTTTCAGGTGTATGAGGCTGGTGCAGCATCCCAACGTGGTTCACCTCTATGAGGTCGTCAACACACCCACCACCCTCTACCTGATCATGGAGTTAGCTGAGGGTGGTGACCTCTACGACTACATCCTCCGCCATGAGGGAGGCGTGGCTGAGGACACTGCCAAGCGTCATTTTGCCCAGATAGTGCGCGCTGTGGCGTACTGCCACCAGCTTCACGTGGTGCACCGGGACCTGAAGCCAGAGAATGTAGTGTTCTTTCCTCAGCAGGGGGTGGTCAAGCTAACCGATTTTGGCTTCAGCAACCTATTCAAACCTGGGACAATGCTGGCCACTAGCTGTGGGTCGCTGGCATATTCCGCTCCAGAGATTCTGCTGGGAGAAGAGTATGATGCTCCAGCTGTTGGTGAGAAATGGATAAGCTTTTCTTTATTTAAGAATCTAGGTGTGTTAAAAACTGTTTGACTAGATCAGTGCCCCCAGGACCTTCACATGGGGTCACAAGATCATTACCAGTATAGAAAAGAAGTACGTAAATGCATCCTTTGCTCCATCATTTTACTTTGTCAGCATTTCCTCTAAACAGCTTATTTTATTCCAAATTACTGGATAATTGTACCTATGGTGAATTTTTTACATAGCTCAAAGGAAAAATGTCACTCTTTGGTAGAACAGGTAGAACAGTGCAACCATTGATGAGGGGTCATGAGTATCTTTCTGTTTGAAGGATCAGAGGGTTAAAATGTCTCCTGGCCTAGATAAGCAAGTATGTGTAGGCGTGTAGCTCTGCTCATGCTGGCATAACTTGCTTACATACATTCACATCATAGCCAGAGGTTATAAGCAGCATCCAAGTCATTCTGTTCCAAGATCAGTATTGGAAATGTAGTCTGGGAAAAATCTATGGATCAGAAGCTTTCTAAATTTCCTTTTATATGCCACAGTCTGCATCAGATCCCACATCAGAGTTTGCTCAGATGTCAGTTGTCAAGAATAGTTGACAAAGAAGTCTTTACTTTAAAGTCTATTCAGCTCTGGAGCTTTTGATCATACTACACAATCAGCACCTGATGGGAGACTGTTTTGTCAACTGCTGTTTCCAATGTCAGCAAAGTTTTTTTGATACAACATTTTCTAATTATGTTTGGCACACCTACAACAAGCCTCCAACAAGACAGATTCATCTGTTTGCATGAGCTCATGGAGTGTCTGTGTTTGTTCCCTGTATTCCTGTGTATTTTTTTTGTAACTCTGCGTGTTTGTGTGTGCGTGTTCCTGGTCTGTGTGTCCTTGTTTGTATCTGTAAATGCATGTGTATATGTATGGATTTGTGCATGGGTTTGCGTGTGTGTATGTCCACAAAGGATTAGTGTGCCTATCTGGGTCAGTCTGAGCAAGTCTGCCAGTCAGGAGCCAAGCGGGCACGTTCTGCAGTGCAACCAAATACTGCAGCTATTCACTGGGATCTCATACTGCATAGCAAATGTGTGTGTGTGTGTGTGTGTGTGTGTGTGTGTGTGTGTGTGTGTGTGTGTGTGAAGATGGAAAGACAAGAGACATAGCAGAATTAGACAGTAGCATGCATTGCATTTTATAGTAGAAACATAAGTCTGTGTTGATTGGAATTGATCGACACTATTTGTGGTGAGGAGGGAAGGGGGGGTTACACAGCATGTCCGATTCAGGGAGGTCAGCGGTTTTATCTCCTAAGATGGCCTAGCCTGGATTTTGGCAGGGCTTAGGTGCTGTTTATTCTGGTGACTACAAATGCATCTGCACTGAATACAACTGCAACGAGTGGTTGTTCTTAAGGAGGGACAGCAGGATGACTTGCAAATAGGTCAACATCAGTGAACAAGCAGTTTAACCTTTTTAAAATACACCGTTGGCCTCAATAGCACTACTTCAAGTGTGTTTTGGTCTGTACTGGACATTCAGTCTCTTAATCCTGTTTATTCTTCTGAACAGTGCAGAAAGCTCATTTCAGTTTTGACACAGAATTGGTAAAAGCTTGTGGCTATGGCCTCACTGTGTTTCCACACAAGAGATGGCTGGGTACGCATTTTATTCCCTTTATCATGCCACCACAAAAAAACAAAGTGAGCTAAAATGATGCCAGGTGGATGGTTTCTTTGTTAACCACAGGACCAGGATGTGGCTGTGAGGAAACACTGCTCACATTCATCCAAGACTTTAGCATAGTTTGAGTTGCAGTAGTTCCTTTTTTTCATTTTAGTTCCTGTTTCTAAAAGTATCCGCATGCCTTCATGTAGATACTTTCTCATGTGGATACGCATTAGTTTAAATCAATTTCTGTATGTTATTAAACCATCCAAGACTGCTTTTTGCTTCACTTTAACACAAGTGCTAGAATTCTGCTCTGTTTTAACATGACTCAACCTATGGATGTTAGGATTATGTCATCACTCTAGAAATATACACTTCCATCACACACACACACACACACACCCAGAACTAGTTTGTATTCAAGTGTAACGATTGATTATTTTCATTAGGGATTGCCCTGCTGAGTATTTTCTCTATTAATCGACTGACTGGTTTGTAATACTTCTGACACCACTGAGACATGCTGTCACAGCGCTTTAAACGATAATCAAAATAATTGTCAAGGTTATTGTAGGTGTGCGACAGCACAGCCAGACTGTTCTATTTTGTATAGGCTTCACCCTCTGGCAGCTGTCATTATTGGGTTTATCCCTCGTGCATGCGCCGCCCTGAAGCGATTTCCTTTGCACCCTGTGCCCTGCACTGGGCTGACCCCACTCAGGTCCACTGTGGTCATATAAAAGCTTGCGTAACCTGAGCTCTGCTCCCTCTTTTTCTTCAGCAGTTCTAGAGAGCAATTCCTAGAGCTTTGTCTAAAGAGCGAGGTTCCTTGAACGCCGGACTCTAGCGCCGCGCCACCATCACCTTCTGCCCAGTCTGCGAGACGGGCTTTGTTCTGCCCGGCGCCCCGCGCCCCCACTGCTAGACCTGCACAGAACACACTGAGCTGGCGTTCCCCACTCGGGCCGCTTGCCCCTTGCTTGTTGGAGAAGCAGTGCCGTACTAATGCGTTTGGGGTCACCAGGGAGCATGACCCTGACGATTTCTGATTCCCAAGAAATACTGTAGTGTTAGGCAGACTGCAGTGTGGTTCCCACCTGAGCTAAAGCCACTGGAAGGTGACAGCACAGAGTATCAGTGAAAACAAAATGGCCATCTGCATGTACAATACAGTTTTTTCAGGATCATGACATGAGAGAGAGGATAATCATATCTGAGTAATAACTTCCTGTCAAGGTCATGGCTTCATAATTGGTTCAGTTCATGTAATACAGTATACTTACAAGTGACTCATGACCTGAATGCAGCATTTGCAATGGATGCTGGGATACCCAGCTGGATTTTTCTCCAAATGTGGGCAAAAAAGGCTGCACTTTTTTCTAAACTTGGATGACCCATATTGACGTTTGGGCTTGAAATGTGCACGTTAAAGAGGGCAGACCCTGTACTGGGTCACAGCCCTACCACAGAACCAGATTGTTCTTGGCAGTTCTGTTGAACTCTCTGCCGAAACAGTTATTTTATATTCAAATATTTATTGGGTTGTAAGCAGGGTGTTCATGTATGGCAGTAAGCAAAGGTTTTACATCTTTCACTTCCATAGCATGGTATGTGACATCTGTCCAGGGGCTCTCTCCGTCCTTATAAAGTTCCAAAAGAGGTCCCAACAGGAGTTCTCATCTGAGAACTGAGAGCTGTTGTTTGGACTATCCTGAATATGAGGGACAATGGCTGAATGTTTGTCAAACGTGACACTGGTAGATGTGAGAATCTGTGCGTGAACTACACTGTTTGGATTTTTATTGTATTTTCAGATACAATATCCTTAGCAGACATCTGATCTGCTTAGGATGTTGTAATGGAAAAGTTTCTTTACAAAGGCATGGGTGTGGCAATAGTCTGGCACTTTTCAGGTTTTTGCTGCATATTATTGCTTATTAACTTCACTGTAGAGTGTCATGAAGCTGTGTACAATGCAGATCTCTGCAACACAATGATTATCTGTAACATGTTGCTCTGTTATGTGCGTATTTTAAGAAAGTGTCAACAAATTGGCAAGTTTATGCCCAAGCAATGATGGTGGATTCTTATCTAATGCTCTGTCTATAAATTTCCAGAAGTAGTAGTAGTAGTAGTAGTAGTAGTAGTAGTAGTAGTGTTGGATTATTTATTTATGTATTTATTATTGTTGTGGTAAAAAATTGCATTTCCACTTTGGTCAGCAGTCTAAGATGATAAATGTCTATTATTACTTATATTCACACCGATAAATTTCAGTTAAAACAAGTCTACAACCATGTTAGCAACTGTGTCAGGCTGTACCACTGTGATGACATCAGTTTTTCAATGTGTGAGTGTTTGTGTGTGCAAATGGGTGAATGGGAAAGTGCTTTGAGTGCACATCAATGTATAGAAAAGTGCTATACAATACCATTTAGCATTTCACATGCTAACATGCTGATGTTAAATGGGTATGATTTTCATCATGTTCACCACTTGCTGTAGTTTAGCCTGTTAGCGTGCTTACATCTACTAATTAGCACTAAACACAAAGCATAGCTGAGGCTGATTGGAATGTCATTAATTTAACAGGTATTTAGACAAAAACCTAAGTATTGGACAAAGTGAAAATCTGACCCGATGAGTAAAAAAGAAAAAATCAGACATCAGGATTTTATGTTGAGATATTTTACGGGTCAAGTGGTAAATTTGACCTACTGGTGGCATTAGAGGAAAAGTTAGGGTATCTTTGTCAGGATTAAAATCCCTTCTGATCTGACTGGAGTATATCAGACCAGCACCAATGATACCAAAATATCAGATTGACAGTTAAAGTGGAAATGTAGTGATAAGACAGTCAAGCAATGTTTTTTTTAAAAGACTAATATGGGGCTGCATTTTTTAAATCACTCTTTGATTTGGAGTGCAGTGCTCCCTGCACAGTGATAGAACTGATTATAAACAATCAGTCATTAAGAAAGCAAAAGCTAGAAAAAGATCAGAATTATAATCGTCCTGTAACTGTCTCATAAAACAAATGGGATATTAGTGGGGGCAGCATTTTATTAGATAAATGATCTGTTGTATTTCAAGAGTTAGGACGGGGCTAACACCCAATAGGAACAGAGTGTGCAGTGTTCCTATTTCCACTGTTTTGGACAACAGACAAAGAAGAGAAAGCAAGACTGTTCTCTGAATAGGATGACACCACAACAAGCCCTCTGTTTGTTATGGCCTTCAGCCTCCAGCTCCCTTTCCTCTGCGTGTGTGTGTGTGTTTCCTCGAACCGGCCGAACTTGTTCTCGCCTGGGTAGAACTGTTCTCGAGTTCGTACGGACCTCCTCTTACTGTGCCGTCATGAAGACAGGGGAAGGAAAGGGAGGAGACGGAAAAAGAGCACACAGTCAGCACTGTCGGTTAGCACCAGGAAGCCTGTGTGTGTGGGTGTGTGTGTGGGTGTTTGTCTGAGTGTCAGGGGTCAAGAACGCCAAGACAAGCCGGCAACAGCTTAGGACTCACACTTCGGATGTATGAAACCGGACATCCGGCTATTACTCAAGCACTGCCCTGTTACATTTATTTCTTTTAAGTGAGGAATAACCTTATGTAACCTTGATCCAAAGTTGAGCCTTTTGTGTAGATTTGTAGGACAGAATCAGATTGTTACCTCATCTGTAGCTCAGACAATAACTCCTGGATGTTTTCAAGGCAAATTCAAAAAAAGTAAAATATTTTTAAATATCGCTTGTGAACCATGAAGCTCACAGCATTCTGAATAGAGAGCAGAGGGACTGTGTGCTATATTAAGGACTGAGATTATTTGCCATTTAAGGCAAATTTTTATGCTTGTCTGTGTTCCAGATATCTGGTCCCTGGGGGTGATCCTGTACATGTTGATGTGTGGAGTCCCTCCCTTCCAGGAAGCCAATGACAGCGAGACTCTTGTCATGATTCTGGACTGTCGCTACTCCATCCCTGAACATGTTTCAGACAATTGTAGAGAGTGAGTATGGAGGAATAATCGCACATACAACCCTAGCTTTAGAGAAAAAAGATATCTGTAAATAAAATATAAAGTGACTTTTATAACTTGATTGTAGAGATTCTTCATTGAACAGCTTTATTCTTTGTGTCTTTGTGCTGCTGAGTAGATGTGATGGGTGTCTCTGTCATTAGGGGCTGCTCACCATTAAATCATCCTATTAGTCTTTGTTTCAGTGGATAATTTTAGTGTCCTAGTTGTCCCAGGGGCTTCTCCAGCCTGCTGCAAATACAGTCCTTGCTAAAAGTGTGAATATTTTTTGGGCATGAACCAGAGAGTATTATCTAACAAATCAGCAATACAAAAATATGTGTGGTCTTGAGCCTGAAACTGTATTTCAGTCCAAAGCCACACAAACAAACCTGGAACAAAATACAACCCACATGTAATAATGTGTCTTCTCACTTAACCTTTAGTCTTCACATGTCAAATCAAAATACACTCAACCTTAGCCTGTCCTCAGCTCACAGCACAGTGCTGTTAACATCTGAGTCTGAAATGGTGCTACATGTTTGGAGAGTGAATAATGTTAAACTGAGGTCAAAACCTAAAAACACACTCTTTTAGATCATTTCATTAGCTCACCACTGACTTAAAAAAAAAGGAAAAATCTGGTAGTACCAACACAAAGCACACAGCGAGTGTGTCCTACTGACAAGTATTGTACCTTGTTCCTCAGTGATGTAGAGCTCCACTGTTGTCCAGAAGCTGTTAAAAACATATCCCTGAGCTCCAGTGCTGCAGTGGCTGTTGTAGTTTATTTTAAGCCAGCCCTAGATAATATTGGTGGTAAAAATATTTAGGTAGAGCAACAAATTTGTATTGATCTGTATCGGAAAAACATCCCCAGAAGTGCACTGTTTAATCCATGTTTGCTGAAAACTACAGTCCCCCTATTTCAGGAAATTCCCAGTGTAATGTGTTTGTGAGCCTATTTTGTTAAGATTTAAATCTTAGACAAGAATGGCTTTGGGACTGAGCTTCAAAGACAGAGAAGGAAAGTCCAACACACTAATAAGTTGTTGTTTTGGTCTTTTGATTTGAATATGTTGACAGTGAGAAAATGATAGAATTACCAGCATTACCATTTTATTACTGTAACATGAGCATATATACACCCAGGACTGATTTAAAAAAATGAGCAGAACTACGTTCTGGACACTTACAAGCTCTCAAATGTTTCAAGTAATGTTGGCATTGTTAAGATGTGTAGAGATGGCATAGATTGGCTCTAAATAAGGTTCTTTTTATTGCCAAATCTGTTTCTGCAATAGCTGATCTCTAAAATATGAAGCAAGCAAACAGCACCTCCATATGCTCTTCAGAGACAATAAATCCCTTTGCCTTATTCCTTGTTAGTCTGATCTCCAAGATGCTCCAGAAAGACCCATCTCACCGTGCCTCACTGGAGGAGATTGCGGCTCACAACTGGCTGCAGGGGTTGGATAACGCCTTGCTCAGCCCAGAGGCCCCACCACCCTGGCTCTTAGGAGCCCTGTCTCCCAGCTCTTCCCGCTTTGGAGTTCCAGAGTGTGGGGACCTGCTTGCTGCGAGGCCCCCTCTTCAGCAGGCTTTCCCTGGGCCTTGGCAGCCCAGTCTCAGCTTCACCCTCCGTCCACCTCCAGCTGAGGAGCCTCCAGTTACCAAGAATCTGCCTGTGCTCCAGCAGATCTGTGAGGAGGAAGAAGAAGAAGAGGAGGAGGAAGAAGAGGAAAATGAGGAGGATAAAGGCAGTTTGGTAAAAGAGGGAGAAGGTTTGTTAGTCATTGAACCACAAAAAGAAGTAGAGGAGAAGCTTGATGTAGCAGATGACCGAGAGTTCAGAGAAGAGGAGATAATGGAAGAGGAAGGGGAGGTAGTGGAGAACAAAGTGGAGAGAGGGATGGAAATTAATGAAGAAGACCATGTTGGTGTGATTTTAGACCAACCAGTGAGTCATAAAGACAAGCTGGTCAGTCAGACTACTGAAGTTCCACCATCATCTCTGCCTGGTTTGATGGTCCCATGCTGTCAGGTGCAGCCAGACCTCACAACGGCTGAGGAAGGAAGGGACGAGGAGACAGAACCCAACAACAACACCAACAAACCTCTTCCCTCCATCCCTCCATCCACTGCCAGACTCAGCCTGAACAGTAAGGAGCTGCCAAATACTAAAAGAGAAGAGCAAGAGGAGGGGGGAAGAGATGACCTCTTGACAGACAGATCTCAACCCCACAATGCACTGGGGACCCGGGTTGAGGCTGCTCCCAGGGTGGACCAGGGAAAACGACATGGCGTAAAGCTACGTGAGAGACTCTTTCAGTTCCCTATATGTGAGAAAGCTCTGGCCTTCAACATACCGACACACAATAAGCCCAAGATCCTCCCACTGGCTCAGTACAACTGCTGCCATGTGCTATAAGTGAAAGCTGCCTGGGTGCTGTCTGTGATGCGCTGCTCATTCACTTGTGACATGCAGGCTGTTTAGCAGGCAGCAGGTGGCTGATCGCCGAGCTCCCTGCTGAGCCTTTCTGCTGCACTGGCCTCGAGGTGCAAGAGCAGAGGCCCTCAGCCTCCAAACACCAAGTGTACAGGATGGGACATGTACAGCTTCATACAGACACTTGATTCATAGCATTGTGCTTTTGTAGTCAGCATTGTATTACACTAGAGGAGGTGTACAGCCCAGTAGTAAGACGTACCGTCGTAGAACCTCATCCGTTTGCTGCTGTGTTACAAGAGCAACCATAGAATTACAATGACACACTAGACTGTATCTAATCTGTAGCTTAGAGACAATACTGAAACCATGTATATGGACAACACTGAAGAGAGGAGACAACAAGAGATGTTGGAATGTCTGCAACAGTTTTTACTGAATAAGCTATGGGTTTTTTTGTTGCTGTTGTCTGCTCAAAAGGTGCCTACAATGATAAAAAGGGTTTCACACTGTACATGGCCACAGTGTCATTTTGGTTCTGACTGTAAAAAAATAATCTCTAAACATCAGAATGTTCTAGCATGTGCACTCAGTAGAGCTATGACTTCATATTTTATAATACAATGCTCAAAAAATTAAGGGAACACTAAATCACATATTGGATTTTGATTAGTGATTACTGCAAGCTGAAAACCTTTACTAATCTACATTGTATAATTTGTTCAGAACAAAATTACTTAAGGGCAGCATGGTGGTGTGGTGGGTAGCACTGTTGCCTCACAGCAAGAAGGTTCCGGGTTTGCGACCTTTCTGTGCGGAGTTTGTACTGTATGTTCTCCCTGTGCTTGCGTGGGTTCTCTCCAGGTACTCCGGCTTCCTCCCACTGTCCAAAGACATGCAGCTTAGGTTGATTGGTGACTCTAAATTGCCCGTAGGAGCGAATGTGTGTGTTGTTCGTCTGTGTGTTGGCCCGGCGACCTGTCCAGGGTGTACCCCGCCTTTCGCCTGATGCTGGCTGGGATTGGCTCCGTGACCCAATTTGGGACTAATTGGTATAGAAAATGAGATGAGATGAGAAAATGAAGTGGAAACCAAAATCATCAACTGGTTTTGGTTTCCACTGTTGGTATTCAAAAGCACACTAAAAATGAAACTATGAAATCACAGGCTCTTTCAAGCTGCATGAATTTCATCATGGCAACTCCTGATGTGACTCAGAAGTGTGTATGGCCTCTGCATGTCTGTATGCACTGCTGACAACATCTAGGTATGGTCTCCTCATCCCAGGCCTGGATCAGGGCTCCACTGAGCTCCTGAACATTCTGTGGTGATACCTGGTGGCATCAGGTGCACTGATACATAATGTCCCATAGGTGCTCAAATGGATTTAGATCAGGGGAACATGAGGGGCAGTCAATGGCATCAATGCATTTGTCATCCAGGAACTGCCTACACACTCTTGGCCGCATGAGGCCGGGCATTGCCTTGCACCAGGAGGAACCCAGGGCCCACTGCACCAGCATAAGATCTGACAGATTCTCTGAGGATTTCATCCTGGTACCTCACAGCGGTGGGGGTACTGTTGGCTAAGAAATGGAGGTCTGCATGGCTCTCTGAGGATTTGCTTCCCCAAACCATCACTGACCCACCATCAAACTGGTCATGCTCAGTAATGTGACAGGCAGCATAACATTCACCATGACATCTCCAGACTCTTTCATGCCTGTCACATGTGATTAGTATGAACCTGCTCTCACCTGTGAAGAGAACAGGGTGCCAGTGGCGAACCTGCCAATTCTGGTGTTCTCTGACGAATGTTAATCGAGCTGCATGGGGCTGTGAGCATGGGTCATACGAGAGGACATTGGGCCCTCATCATGGAGTCTGTTTCTGACAGTTTGGTCAGAAGCATGCACACCCGAAGCTGTTGGAGGTAATTCTGTAGGGCTCTCTGTGCTCCTCCTGTTCCTCTTTGCACAAAGGAGGAGATATAGGTCCTGCTGCTGAGTTGTTGCCCTTCTCCAGCCCTGTCCAGCTCTCCTCCATGCTCTTGAGACTGTGCTGGGAGATCCAGCAAACCTTCTTCTGACTTCATGTCTGGATGTGCCATCTTGGATTAACCAGACAACCTGTGCAACTTGATTGGGATGCCACATGTTAACAGTAGTGACAAGTTCACTGGCAAAACACAAAACATAATAAGAATCAGTCAGGAAGGATCAGAAGAGAGCATTTGTCTGTGGCCACCACATGTGAAACCATTCTCTTTTTGGGGGTTGTCTTGCTTTGGCCTGATCATTGCACCTGTTGTCACTTTCATTTGCACCAATGCAGGTGAAACTGACTCCCAACCACTTCAAATCAAATCAAATTTTATTTGTATAGCATCAAATCACAACAAAAGTCATCTCAGGACACTTTTCAAAGTAAGGTCTAGACCTTACTGTTATCACTATTATTGTGCTTCCCAAATGGACAGAGTGATATCCCTGACTTTCAACTGACTTGGTATTATACTGTGATGATCAAGTGTTCCCTTCATTTATTTTGAGCAGTTATGAATTAGAATGAACTTTGAACCAGCTTGTGCTACAGAGTAGCACTCATTTCCTCTTACCTTTGCACAACCTGCTTCTCAAGTTAATATAAGCAGAGACTGATATGATATGATATGATATGATAATATATCTTCCTGTCCTTATTGATATGACTTGGTCTAACCTACTGTATGACAATGTTTATAGGATCACAAACTGGGATGCAGGTCTTCCATGGTAATTGAAATTTTTTTTGATTATACAAAATATTTGAATAATATTTGATCATAACACTTATTTTGGATGTACAGATATAATGTTTTTTTAAATAGTATGACAAAGATATTAATTTTCTGAAGAGATACGTTACTTTATGCATGTTATTTATCAAAATATACCTCCATGTGTCTTGGATCTGACAGAACATTGTTCTTGTGTAACTGTACCTTGTGTAACTCACTGAATGGTGAATTGCACAGAGTATGACTACTGTAATGGGTATCTTTCTATGAGCATCAATCCTGGGACTGATGGATAGATTTGCTGGTCATTTAGACCACTTAAGGGTGACATGTTAATTGTGTAGTCCCTCTGCATGGTATTCTGTTTCTGTATTTTAACAAATATACAGTATTTTAATCCTTTTGAACCTCAGACATAAAATGTAAAGTTTTGTATAGCAACAGAAGGCCAAAGCTGTACAAGTTGCATCTTCCTCGGATAGGAATAAACTGTTTGCTTAACTGTCAATCACTGTAGCTTCATGGACACAACCAATTGGATTTTTAACCCGTGACCACATGGTCCTTGCCTATCTAAGGAGCGGATCTCATGTGAAATCTGATTAATCATTCATATTTTATCAGCCATGGAAGTGTAAAATCTGTGCAGAAGAAGGATAAAATCCCATTAATTGTTCCTGTGTGATTGCAGCCTGTCGCTCCTGTGCCTGTGTCTACTGACCTGCATTTTAACTAGGACCATGTCTTTATGGAGCCATGAACTTATTTTTCTGTATTTATATATTAAAATTGATTAAACCAACAAGATGGATGTGTCTGCTGGATTTATTTCACAGACACCCACACTGGAAACCACCCCTGTCCTGACAAGGCTGTGTGCTTCTACTCTGCTACATCAGAGGAATTATTACTCCGTTACATCTAATTAACAGTGTGTGTGTGTGTGTGTCTCTCTCTCTCTTATTTACTTTAAGACAACCGGCAAACATTGTCACCTCTGTTCCTGATCATCGGCCCAAATCGTCTACAACTTTATCTTCATTAACTCATTACAAACTGTCAGAACAGTGCTCGTGCATACACACACACACTTGTATTTCCATCGTTGTGAGGATTGATTATAATGCATTCCCTAGCACCTTACCCTAATACCTAACTTGGAACTAAATGCCTAACCCTAAACCTTATAACCTGAACCCTAACACCAAGTCTTAACCCTCAAAAAGGGGGTTAACAAAATGAGGACCAGCCAAAATGTCCTCACTTTTAACAAATGTCCACTCTGTAGCAAAAATACTTATTTATATAGCAAGTACAAGAACACACACAGATTATGATTAGTGTCAGCAACAGCAAACTGAGGAAGTCTCACCACCCATCTGCATCAGCCTTTCTGCAGCCAGCAGGGCTTGTTAAAAGATGCATGTTGACTAGAAGTGAATAGTGCCTCCTGGTGGCTGGAAACAATACTAACCCCTAAAAACTATAATGTCTATAACAAACAATGCAGCAGTGTTCAGGAAGTAAAGGGTGGGCTTCCCCAGTGACTTCATCTGTACAGTCATTAGTCAAACCAGCTGGTGAAGTGTGAACATTCATAATAACAGCATATAATTAAAGTCTTAAAATGTGAGGTGAATTACTGTAGTTATTTCAGTACAGTGAGCTCCAGCAGTCATTCTTTGAGGCATACAACAGACAAGTCAGTAAAAACTGAAGTACACACAAAGGAATAACATGTTTCTAATTGCAAAGCAGATAACAGTTCTCCTCAGTACTTTCAATGCATATCTTAAATATCAACACATAATTCATTCTGTTAAAAGGCTCAAGGCTTGATCCTTTGATAAGCATGTTCCTATAACCATAACATGAGTAAGGAAAAGACAGTATCATCAGCAGAGATAGAAATAAAGAAGAAGAAACTTTATTTTATTGTACAACGAACAACCAAATTTTGTTTGGAGCCGAGGGCCCCGGGCCGCCATCACAGGCAACTTGGGGGTTCAGTGTCTTGCCCAAGGACACTTAGACATGTGGACTGCAGGCACCGAAATTTGAACCTTTAACTTTCCGGTTGTGAGACGACGACTCTACCCACCGCATCACCGTTGTCCAAAGATACAAGTGTCGTGATCGTTTTCTTTTTGTTCAACTAGAGGCAGACTTTTTTCTCATTAAGTCATGCCTCGTTGTTTTGGGTTATATCACGACAAAATATGACTTTTGACATGTACTTATGTAACATTTACTGATCATAATGTAAATACAGTCGTTAAACATTTTAGGAGATATGCGTAGAGTATTTATTTTCTTACCAACAGACTGATGCCACTCTAATGCTGGCAAGATAAATATGTAACTCTAGCCAGTAGCCAGCTAACTTACTGTATATTAGCCCAGAGAAATCAATTTGTTACTGTATATTAGCCCAGAGAAATCAAATAGATTGGCTCCATCTAAAGGTCACAGGATCTCGCTGTTATGCCAGCTTGTCTTAGTTCACTGATCAATATATCAGGATCTCATTACCTGCTAAATGGGTGAACCAGAATGGGTCATGGTAAAGTTGTGGGCCATAAATTCAAAACCACTGAAGTGAAAGACTAAATTGCTTTGAGCTGAGCTGAAAGGGACTGCAAAGCCAGGTGAAATGCTACAAACAGTTTATATTAAACCTTTTGTTTTTTAAACCAATTTTGATATAAAAGCGATCAGTGCAGTGTAAGAATCAGTCCGATGACGATACTGTCCCCTAAATATGAACACTAGTTATACCCTATCACTAGATAGCACTGAGCAAAACACTCCTGAAAGTGCCCTAGATCAGAGAAAAGAACTGCAACATTTAGTCAATTATTGTCTGTCCTTGATCCAGCCAGAAAAAATAAATACTCTGTGCTGTCACACCCTTACCAAATATTGACTGTACACACTGAAACCTTACTGATTTTCCAAGAACTCTTCTGTTTTCCCAACTTATCAACAAACCCTACAAAAACCTTCTTTATCATAACATAAACTTTGTAAAGGTCATCTGAGACATTCCATCTGCTGTCCAACATTGACAAGAAAAACACATTTTAGCTCATGTTTCAGATACACTTGCAGTATACATATAATATGAATATACAGTATAGGGCAAGCATTGGGGACTCAGCAGGATGCACTGTGGCCATAGTGGAGATCCTAAGGTTTTCTCCTTTCAAGTTATACACAACACTGAAGGTGGTACTGTGTCTTCTGGGTGTAGCAGGCCAGCACAGCACAACGTAAAACACACCTTAACACTTTGAAACGCAATCAGGACTCTTCAGCTCAGCATCTGGCCAAGAAAAAAGAAAAGTTGTCACACAGGTGAAGGAAGACATCAAAATGCTAAATAATGAAACATAATGGGGTTAACCTACTGTTTCAGGGCCTGAATGGATTTGTACTCCATGCGTTCTATCTTTTTCCGGATCCAGTCTGGTTCATCGGGGATCAGGACTGCCACAATAACCTTAACTAAGATGAGCACATGCTGCAAAAACACAAGGCTAAAACCGTCAGGGGAATGCACATGGATATTATTATTTTGCTTGTGTCACTCTCTCCCTTCTCCCTCCTACCTCCACCAAAACAGCCATCAGCAAAATGCTTGTGCAGCTCATCTTGCCCTGCTGACACAGCTCCTGTAACTGTGGCGACAGCAGTAACAGCCAGCAGTTGGACATGACGGAGGCAAAACTCAGGACCTGGAAAGCTAGCTGAAACACACGTATCAAGACAACCACATGAGCTGATTACGTGTGACACGTCTCATCTATTGTGTGTTTTGTGTTATATTCTGACCTGCCACACACCCATGTTAGCCACAGGAGGGGAGAAGGGTTTGCGGAAGAGTTTGCAGATCTTGTAGGCATCTGTTCGGATCTCTGTGATGTTGTTGATGAGCAGCAGCACAGCCGTCAGAGGATACACACAGGAGAAAAGACTCAAATACCCAAACTGCACCAGGAGTTCGATGTACTCAGCAAAAAGGCCCTGTGACAGATCAATAAGCTTGCTGTCATACACTGCCAAAAGGTTTTTGTTTTGCCTTGTTTGGCTTTGTGGTGTTAAAAAATTGTTAATACACACAGGGAAAGCAGGCAGGGTGCTTTCGTTTCTAAATTTGTCCTCCTGTGGGTCATCTTCAGTCTCTGCCCTGTTGGGGGTACTGATGAACCGGTCTACCAGGTAAGGTATGACCACCTCTGTCACCTGGTTCACCACCTGGGATATTATCAGCAAAGAGGCAAGGCGCTTTGGATAGAGAAAGGGAGACAGAGAACAAATCATTTTACATTTATTCAGAAAGTCCTTTCATTTCATTCACTGACTTTCTTTGGTAACACTACAACTTTGCACTGATTCCAAAATGGCGACTCCACCATTTCTGTTTCCGGGCCTCTGAAATGCTGCTCACATCTCAGATTTATTAAATGACCCAAATATGCCTGGTTTTGTTCTCACTGACAGATGTTTTCATTAGTTTAGAGAAACAGTCGACCAGCTGAAGCTTTGTAGGTAGGACTGAAAATGAATGAGCTAATAATAAGTGTGGACACAGCGAACAAGTTGATTTACAGAAATAGTAATGACAAATTTAAAAAGAAACAAATTTTTTTGTATGAAAAAAATGTAAAATAAATAAATAATCCCAGGAATACTGGCAGCTAATGAAACAGTTGCTGAAACAGAAATGGTGGAGTGCCCCTTTTGGAATCAGTGCAAAGTTGTAGTGTTAGCAAAGAAAGTCAGTTAGGTTAGGGTAAAAGCAATCTAACCATGACTTTTAACAAGAAGCTGGCTAACAAGAACAAAGACTAAGGCTAACTGAATGAAGTGAAACTAAATACCAAGTTAGTCTGTTTATCACATTATAAAAACAACAAAACAAAACAACGCTGATGATGTCATCACGGTTACTTCCATCTGAGATTAAAAGCATCCGAATTTGAACAGAAACTCTGCATTAAAAACTAGGTGGGTGGACTCTCTTGTTGGATTCAGTGTTCTTGGATATTCACAAACATTAGGTACAAAGACCAGGATATTTTAGCCTCTGCTGTACTGATTTTTATATTTCTTAAACTACTTTACTTAAGTTCCCCAAGAATATGGAAGTCTAATACTGAGTCACCGGAGTACCACCTTAAAAACATGACACTTCTGGACAAAGGAGTTGTGGAGTTCAGTCATTACCTTACGAAGCAAAGGCACATCCTCCTTGATGAAGGCAATGTGAAAGAGCACAGCAAAGTAGTTGAAGAAGGTGAACTGGTGGAAGAGAGAAAAGAGTCTGTTAAAAGAGTCTCTTGGATTAAGAAGCTGACAGAGGAGAGGAGAGGAGAGGAGAGGAGAGGAGAGGAGAGGAGGAACTAACCACCAAGACTTTCGCTGTCAAATGGTTCTCAAAGGCTGACTGCTCTCTGTGGTTCTCTGAAGGGACATAACAAGAGGTCATCATTTCCACTAATATTATAAGCAGAAATATCAGTAATCATTAGAAAAGCTTCATCATTCTTATGACTTTTTCCCTTCTCTTTTCTCTGATTACATCTTTGCCACACATTCCTCAAGACTTACTGTCACCGCATCACGTTAAATGTGAAATATTGTTTTGACTCTGTTGAAAAATACTGAGTCTTCTTAATTCCTCCCTTGACACCCCCTCTGTCTCACTCACCATATTCAGTCAGAGACTGAGCCACATTCCTGTAAACAGTCGCTAACATGTTTGTATAAATGATGTGTAGTACTGATGGCACATAGAGCAGAATTTGAGTCAGCAGGGAGTCCCAGTCTTTGTGTAGCTGCTGTATATGGGCCTCCCCCCAGTAGAAACAAGTCATCCCCAGTACCACCAACCCTGCAGGAGAAGATGGAAAAGAGCAGGAGAGGTGACAAGGGAAACAGAGCTGATAAGTGGCTTTGCTATTTAAAAGGACTGAACAGATGCTTGTAAGTGTTTTAACATGCTTCACACACAGCTGTAGAACTCATCTTTGCTACTTCATCTTTCACTTCAGACATTAAATAAAGGAACTAATTCATATCTTGCTCACTAACATATAGTGATGGATGCATAAGTCCTACCTAGAAACAGACCCACCACTGGGACGGACACCAGTGCCATACGTAGGTCCCTCTGCCATCCAGGAAAGAGCGGCTCCACACGACCCGTCACTGGGTTGACCCCGATTTCACCATGGAAACCGGGCCTGGGCTCTGCGAAGCGCTCTGTGAGGTTAAGGGTCCCCCAGCGGTAGGACAGGGTGGAGCTCCGACGTTTCCACAGCTCCATGATTACCGTGGACCAGATCATGCTGAACACAGCCTGGACCATATGACCACTGAACACTAGATCTGACTCATCTTCAGCAGTTGTGACCCCTGAGCCCCAGACTGACTCCTTCTCCTTCTGAGCCTCACCTGTGATAAGGAAGAAGTTTGTTTTTCGACTTACAGCTGCACTCACTGTACTGGACCTGAGTGTATTATACACCATTCATCATACTGTACACCCTCCTCATCATAAATTAAAAACAAGACTGAGCATCCTATCCTCAGTATCCAGCCAAAAAACACTGATTTCAGTAATGTTTCCAGCCACATTAGTGATATGACACACATTTTGGTCAATTTTAATCAAGAGTGGAAAAACAAAACAATTTGACGGTTGCCATTAAAATAGGCCAATTCACACTCAGAAGATGAATACTGATGGTTCTGGTGATTATCATCACATGATACCTTTAAAACATTTCTGTTTTCATCCTCTCAGCCTTGGCAGTGCGGTGAGATTAATGATATTAGCATGTTAGCATTATAACACATTAACATGTGCTTTGCATTTTCACATGCAAATATAGGCTCTAGTGTGTAACATTTAGCATGTCAACTTGTTAGCTTACTACAGTACAATTTTAACACATAACTTGAAGTTCACATGTAATGTCAAGCATGTTGATTGTGTGCATGTTATGTGTGGAAAACGATGTACTGCAGTATATCCATCAGGTACAAATATAGTATTTTGTAAAATATTTTATGGACATGCTAATGTTTACATATTGGCATCGTAATGTTAGCTTTGCATTGATCTTGAGCTTTTATGCTATGAAGTACACTATAATAGGCCTACAACAATTTAATGCACAACAATAATATACAGTGCTATGTTAACCAAATAGCCTGTTCTTTTCTCTAGCACCATCCTAAATCCCAGCTTCACATACAGAATGTTTTCCCTTGCAGTGAAATGTTAAAATGGAAAGGATAAATACAAAAACTGAGGATGACCAGGTTATATGATTTTGCTTAAATCAGTTTTATCCATTATCTTGATATCATAGGTTAACAGTTAACAACAACCAAAGCTGCTTTGTCTTCAATAATTAACTTAAGTTCTTGAGATTAAACTAAATCATTACCCCTGTGCCTCCACAATAGCAAGGTTTTCTCAATTTTAATGCCTACAAGTTCTACTTTTACAGTGGCAGTATCATGGCAGACTTTTAGCCTTGTTTAATCCTGCCTTGTAAAGCCCATGCAGTACCAGTCTGGCTGGTGAATATGAGTCTGCTGTTGGCAGTTTGCTAACATAAAGTTATCCGATTTCTCAGTATTCAGAATGTTCAGTCATTTAAGTTCAAACAGCTGCTTCACATTAGCATATATGCTGTTTACATGAAAAAATTGTTATGTGCAGCTTCAAGATATAGTGTTTGAAGTCCCCATTCTAAAGGTATAAAAATGTTTTAGAGTGTTAAGTATGTCTAAATGCCATTCACTATATACACAAAAATAAATAATAAATAACCTACCAGAGAAGTAAGTAATGGACAGGCCTAGTACTGCTGGTGGGAGCAGAGACCAGGTGTAGAAATCAAGGAAGCTGAAGTAGAATCCCACAGAGCTTCCAAAATATTCATTGACTGCATCTGGATAAAGCAGCAGACGGAGCTTTAAGTACCTGTGTGGTTCATGTGTCTTATGTACAGGTAGAAAATATAGCTGTGACCCACCCAGACACCTGCTGTGAATTCTAATTCCTCTCAGGGGTGAATAAATTAAAAATGAGACTGTGACCATACTTGCATCATATATGTGTGTGTGGTGTGTTTTTCCACCCACCTAATGGCTGAGCCAGATGATTCCCAGAGTACCAGGTTTTACCAAGTTCCCTCAATTTGCCCGGGTTGTGGAGGGGAACCATGTCCACAACCACACCAGCTGACACAAGCTTCTGCCCTGCACATGACATCAAAACAGCACTTCAAACCAGAGTAACTTGGGAACGTGTAATAACTAATCCTAATACTGTACAGTCAGGTCCATAGGTATTTGGACAGTGACACCACTTTTGTAATTTTGCCTCTGTACATCACTACAATTTGAAATGAAGCAATCGATATGTTATTGTAGACTGTCAGCTTTAATTCAAGGTTTTCAAATTCATTGTGGTGGTATAAAGGGGCAAAATTGTAAAAATTGTGTCACTGTCCAAATATTTATGGACTTGTAAAGTAAAGTTTCTTGACTGTATATCAGGAGAGTAACAGCAAGCCATAGATAATAGATTAGAACAGTAGCAGATACGTAGTACAGCTAGATTCTGAACAAGAACTGAAAGTACTCACAGATGCTGTCTCTGTGTTTCAGTACAAAGCTGTCGGACAGGCCAGGTACTTTCAGGTCCCTTTGCACCCACAAACCATCCAGCTCATATTTCACTATATACTGTCGCTCCGCTAGCGTCAGGAACACCTCCACGTTGTCTGTAACACACGTGAATAGGCACAGATACACGAGTCAGGAAAAATGTGAAAGTAATTTAACTACTACACAGAAGCTCAGGCTGGCAAGACAGAACCGACCTCAGTTTGGATTAGATCATCCAACTGCCTGAGTTGTGTCTTGACCTATTTCATGTACAAAATAAATTTATACAAGTAAACTAGTGGAACAGTCAAAGGGTCAACATTGTCCCCATTGTACCCAAACTATAACTTCTGCCACCTAACATCTGGCAGACTTGCAGCAAACTGCTCTGCTTTAGTAGCACCACAGTTTCATCCAAAACAAAGAGACAGTTTTTCTCCATCTACTGGATGTACCGCTAAATGTTCTTATACCTGTATAGCGCTTTTCTACACTTTACAGCACACCCAACGCGCTTTTTACACTACTTGGCCATTCACACACTGGTGTTATCATCGGGATAACTGGGGGTTCAATGTCTTGCTAAAGGACACTTTGACTGGACAAGCGAGGAATCGAACTGCTAATCCTACGGTTAGGAAACGACCCACTCTACCTCCTAAGCCACAGCCTCTCCCGATCACTGCTGTGATCATAACTTCAAATGCATTTACTCAACGCTTTCTGTTTCTTTTCACATAATGCTTTTTGCTAGTGTTTGTTGGTTTGTTCACAGCATAGCTCAAGTTGTGAATAGATATTTTAATGAAATTATTTAGAGAGATAGGGTATGGCCCATGGAACAGCCCATATCATCAAAAGTTACTGAGCCAGATCCTGAAGAAAACCATTATTACTGAAATGTAGTTTTTCCTATCAAATTACTAATGATGTCAATTTGATTCCAAATGCTTCATGGTCAAGGACTCATATTATGGGGGTCAAACTATCATGGGAACATTGCTGGTAGGTGTAAGGGCATCATGCGGAAACTGAGTTACCTTAGCAGAGGTTTGTACTCTCTGAGTGCTGTCAAGTTTTTTGTGTTTTTCACATCAACTGTCAAATACAAATAGAAGGCGTGTTTGCAAAACATTTAACACAAGTGTAGATGAATAGATCAGTCTTCTGCTCACAGTATTCTTAGTCTTGTTCCCACTGCAGAGAACATTATTTCTGTTGTGCCGGCTCCTTCACTATGAGAATATTCTATATGTTTGACTTCAGTCTGAAGTCATATGTACTGTATAACTGTATAAAAAGACACTACGGGTTGAACAGGGATTATATAGTGAACTGCTTTAGCATGAGTCTTTGCAAACATTTGTGAGCAGAAGAAGCCTGTCCATCTATCAAAAAAAGAGTGTTCAACTAAATCCAGAATATCCTGCAGGGTAGATCAGACACACCCAAAAGGTTGAACTAAATAAAAGGTGGAGCTAAATAACTGACTCTGTTCAGCTGTCAAGCAAAAGACACATTTCAGGTAGCTCCAGAAAGCTTTTCTGTTGGAAAATTTATTCACACAGACAAATATCCAAATTTTCACTTTAAACTACAACTCTAAGATAAAAGCTCAGTGGTGAGGTCATCTTGTCAATAAAGAGAAACGAAATAACGGCATGATGGATGGGTACTTCAGACTAATGGGAACAAGAAGTGGATAATGAAAATCTCCATTTAAGTTCAGAACAAGTGTGTATCACAGACCCCTCAACACCCAAAAGTCTCTGCTGGTACACATCATCTGTGACACCTGTAAAACAAGGATCCTGAACAAGAGATTGAATAATCATATAAAAATGTATAACTATGCATAAATAAGTAGAATTAATGCTTTATGGTTGTATGCCTCCACCAAGCAGTCATATTAATGGGAATGGGATGGACGCTGTAATCTTGACCTTTGACCTAATCACTTCATCCTGGATTCCTAGTTTTTTAATGGTTTATTCATTTTAACAAAATGAGAATTTGAATGTTCCCAACCCAGACAGGAACATATAATCCTTCAGTTTATTTGAAATTTAAAAGGTCACATGATTTTAATTAGACAGTGCTTATTTCAGTGCAGAGGAGATACACATTTGAAAACCACATCACAACACAACTGATTCTTGTGATGTGTGCCCCTAGCAGCCTGTTGGGATAACAGCTTTAATTTTATGGCTTAGCAACAGGAGCACAATGACATGTCATATTTAGTGTATTCATGAATACATTCCAAGCTACTATGCTTTACCTGACTCTATAAAATTGTCTTTGTCATCGTAGGAGAAGGCCTCCATGTCCCCGTCACGGTAAGGTTTACACAGACCCAACTCTTCAACGGCTCGTAGTAATGTACAGCGTGGGGCAGCGACCACGATGATGTCACCACTGGCATCCTCGCCTGGGTGGGCAAGTAACGCAGCACCTGTGGTTGGAAGGTGGCGCAAAGGGGGAGTACCAAAACTATTATTTTGTAATTTGATACCAAAAAGAGAGGCCAATTCACAGAAGAGGAACACTTAACTGTTTAAACACATTCTGTATATAGTCATTATCCTATATCCTTTCTCCTGTAGTTCATATATTATCAACTAGGCAGAGAAATATGTTGATGTGACATTTAACCAAACAAAAAGAGGCATGTCTACATCTGTTCCTTTGAAAAATGAACATAATGTTAATTGTCATCAACTGGGGGAGCCCAAATGTGGAGTGTATTTATGGTCAAAACAAAAAGCTCTTTCTATATCTGATGCAAAAGCTGAAAAAGTGACTCAAAGGCACAGCACAAACAAATCTAAGAACTAAGGTTAGCAGCGGAACTGCAGTTAGCAGCTCCAGCAGCGTTGATTTGGTCAATGAAAGCGGGAAGAAGCTTGATACAGAAAAACATAAGAGAGAGAGACATACAATTAATGTCTGATGGCAGGGTAGTGGCATTCATGGCTTGTTGGATGGGAATTTGGGAAAAGAAAGAACAGAATGTCACAAATGGGTGAATATAGAAAGTAAGTGAAATGCAGATTTTTAAACAAAACTCAGAGTAGGATTATTTTTGCTGTTTCAACCTGTGTTGTAAAGATTCAGTGTCTATAACAATAAGTAATATATGTTTAATACTGCAGATAAATAGTTTGCTAGTAGGCAAAACAAACAGCTAGCTTAGTTAGCCGGGCTACTGCTCTAGATGTGGACTCCTAGCAGTTAGCTACAATAGCTAATCCTGGGAGCTAATTTATTACTTTTGTGTTTACTCTTGTTTGAACTTTGAGACAAGTGTTTGTTTAATAATGTAATATTCATTCATCACATGTGGAAAGCTGTAGTTTTTCATATAAATTAGCTTAAAAACTAAGTTAATTTTTTAAAAACAGTTTAAGCAAAGCTAACTTTAACTAATCCATTATTATGTCAATCTTTAAAAATACCAGAACATGCTTTTATGATTAAAACATTGTAAAGCACACTATCATGCAGAATCACGACTGTGCAATCTTAATTGCCTTTTTCTAACTCTACACAGGAATTATATTTAAATTTTTGCAAACTCATACAAACTCCATGTTTTTATGGTTGTAGCATTCCATCAATAGGAAATATTCTAAATGTCTTTTTCATCATTGCAAGAATCAGCCTGACAGAACGAGTATTTCCTGTCTCTGGAAAATGATGTCTGTGGTGTTCTGTCATCACAGAATGGGTTTAATGACTTGTATACCACTGCTGTAAAATAAAAAAATATATAGTCATCTGACCTAGGAAATTTCCATAAAGGAGATGAGATCTCCCCCCAAACCAAAATATTTTTAAAGTAAAATAAAAGGAAAATTAAGTCTTTAATTTTTATGATTATTAGGATAAATATCTATTCACTCATACGTAATGTAGTTCAAACATCAAAACGAGGCGTTTATCTGCAAAGAAATGCTTATAAATATTGTCGCAGAAAACAAATTTTGTCACGTTTTCTGTCCTAGTTAAATGTTCATGCTCTGTAGCTTATGCATAGAAATCATTTAACTAAATTCATCTATGCTGCCAACTTGCAAGTAAATGCAAATGCAATCTAATGTTTAAATGTTAGAGCCCTTCTGGGTAATGACTCATGTTCACTATACTTTCAATATAAGAGTGAGATAAATGTTTATAATATTTGATCTGCACATATTTCTTTGCTGGGTTGGACCAGTCTCTACGTGTACTCCTGCAGTTCATCAAGCTCTTACCTCCATCTTTCTGAGGAGCTCCAATCAGTCTGATGAGCCACCTCTTCGTCTCAGGCCGAACCTTCGCACCAAGCTTCACTAGAACCAACGGCTCGATCTGCTCCGACACACAGCAAGGGCAGCTGACCTTTGTCCAGCCTGGTCCAGTGGTTGTAGCACTCGATTTGCCCAGCACCTTTCCCTCTGGGGTCTTATCCTCCGGCCACCGGGCTCTTTCACTACCTCTCCCACGTGCACCTTCACCTTCATCGCCATCTGCCGTACTCATGATGAGACTGGGATAATATATTCACAGAAACAGTTTCAGTTTGCCAGGTTATGGTTCCTTTCCACTTATCCTGGAGCTTTTAATCTCAATTGCTCCATCGTTCACAGAAACGGTTTTAGTTTGCCAGGTTATGGGTTCCTTTCCACTTATCCTGGAGCTTTTAATCTCAATTGTTCCATCATCATCACCCAAAAGGAGCGCAAGGAAGGTACACCACCAAAGAATTAGTCAGGATGTGAGGTTTGCTCCTTTTTTAAGCTGTTACACTGTTTTCTTCCCTTTTTAGCCACACTAGCCTCATGGCTCTAGCCCTGTAAAGCCCAACATATCAAAAAAATAGCCAGAACATTCTAATTTTTTGGAACTGAGATGTTTATTAAACCTTTTAACAAAATCCAAAATATAATTCATGAAATGAAGATGGCAATGTCAGTATGCTAGAATATATCAAAGAAATCACTTTGGAGCACAATTACTGTTTTGTCTGAACGTTCTATTTACTGCCCACTTTATACTGTAACACAGCCTACCTCCTGTGTCAAAGACACTCTGTGTATTTCATGTTAAAATAAATCCCCTGGTCTCCGTGTAAGATTCAATGCTTACAAGAAACATTTAAAGACCCAGCATTAAAATGTAAAACTCCAACTATCAATGAATTGTCCTGTTCAGGTAAATCCCCACAGGTTTTAATTGGAGTGTAGATAAAACCACAGACACACACTAGCACACTACAGCTCCTGGCAGAACGGATAACTAGCGTGGAGCTAGAACATCCCGACTCATTGTTCTAGGTGCCTTTAACAGGGCAAATCTCTCCCACAAACTGCCCAAATACAGACAGCACATCACCTGTCCCACCAGGGACTAAATGGATAATTTTTTGGAGGAAATTTTTCTTGTCAACAGGACTAACTCTGACTTTGTATGCTCTGCTGCTTTGCGCTTCACGGAGACCTGGCTGAGCGACTCGATCGCAAACAGCGCGATTCAAGTACCGGGCTTCCAGGTGTACAGAGTAGATCACATAAAGGAGCTGTCTGGGCAAACAAGAGGAGGTGGAATCTGCTTCTACATAAATAAAGGTTGGTGCACAGATGTCACAGTGCTACAGAGGACATGCAACACAGACCTAGAGACTCTTGTTATCAGTTGCAAATCTTTTACTCTTGTTAGGTATTTTTAGTCAGATAGATATTGGTTAGATACTTGATGTATTAGAAATGTTTAGAGTAGACAGGATGTGTCTAGCTCAGACTGTTAAATGCTTAGGCATTCTTATGAGTTGCAGCAGGTTGCTTATGGTCAAGGATAACTAGATAGAAAGTTGATGACTGTTAGAAGACAGGATGTTTATTATTATTATTATTATTATGACGTGTATAACTGTAGTCATAGCCATAATATTTTCTTATGTTTAATGTCACGACATGTCATTAGAGGTCATGTCAGAATGTTTTAGCTACACACCACATAATCAACAATCACACATTGATTTTTCTTCATGCTTTGACTACTGCTCTGGCCAGCTGCAAAGCTGGCACCGGGAGACGTCACGGTTTGGCGTCCCTGAGTAGTATGGGGCTAGCCCAACCAAAGTGATATAATGTATAGGCCTGGTGTGGTTCAGTGTCTTTCATCTTTCAGCTGCCTGCGTGCAGGTTGGAGGTGCAAGATACCTGAGCGTGTAATGTTAATTTTTACCTGTGTTCATTGAATAAATCAGCACTGTTTTGTAGTTACTTGGACTGTCTCGTCTCTCAGAGTTAGCATGGTAAAAAGTACCGGGTCCAACACTCTCCCTGTGAATTTAACAGTTTCATTCTAATTGGAGTGTACATAAAACCACAGGCCAATGGCGACAGTGGTGCGGTGGGTAGAGCAGTCGTCTCCAACCAGAAGGTTGAAGGTTTGAATCTCGGTGCCTGCACTCCACATGTCGAGGGGTCCTTGGGCAAGACACTGTCAAGACAGTCTCCAAGAAAACCTCCATCAGTGGACTGAATGACTACAGACCTGTTGCCCTGACATCTGTAGTTATGAAGTCCTTTGAGAGATTGGTGTTACCTGAGAGTGTAATGTTAATTTTTTACCTCTGTTCATGGAATAAATCAGCACTGTTTTGAAGCTACTTGGACTGCCTCATCTCTCAGAGTTAGCATGGTAAAAAGAACCGGAATACAACACCTGGTTCAGGTGTGTTCAGTCAGTCAGAAGCTGGAAGATACCAATTCACTTTATCTTTCCTCACTCCACTTTCATCTAAGATGGTATCTTCCAGCTTCTGACTGGCTGAACACACCTGAGTCAGGTAATCAGCAGCAGGTCAGGCAGGGTAGTTGGAAAACAAGCAGGACAGCAGCCCCTGAGGACTGGAATTGCCCACCCCTGCTCTACACCAATGACTGCATCTTGAAGGACCCCTCTGTCAAGGCCCTAAGTTTGCTGATGATACAATGGTCCATCCAGTGACCCACAGTACAATTATTATACGTTCTGTACTTGCAAAGAGTAAACAGTAGATCTAGAATAGATACTTTATGTATTTAGATACCATATGTATTTTACTGATTGTATTTTCCTGTTGTGTGCTTACACCAACTCAGTTCTCATAAGCAGTCAGACTGCAGAGATACAGACATATTTGTTCCAGGAGCCAATGATGACACAGAACTTGCCACAACTGTTAAGTCTGACTGTATAAATGACCCCCAGAGAGACTGCCTCTCTGAGCATTTCCTTCATGCAACCATATTTTGTATATTGAATGCTCCCTTGCTGCAAGAATAATTAAATCCTTATATTATTCACATAAGTGGTCTTGATCTGGTTTGTCTATTTTTTAATAACCCTAACATTGGTCCACAACTTTTGTCCAGATTTGTTCACAACAGCTGGTATATATATAGGCATTCATATTCCCCAGATAATCAAGTCTATGAACTTGGACTACCAGGAAGTTGATAGTTTTAGCTTTTAGTGAAATACCTTGACAGTTATTGAAAGCCTTATTATGAAATTTGGCATTCATTAATAGTGCTTATTAATGATCCCTTGATGCTCATGTCCCCCTTGGATTAATTGCAAATACTTGGGTAACTGCTTAACTTTTCATCTGCCTCATCATCAGGTCAAAACTTTAATTTGTCCACTGTTATGGTCTATGACCAAATACCTGCCAAACTAATTCCCATTAGCTTTTGTATTTAAATGCTACCACACGAACCTAAGTCAAGGTGACAGTGGCAACCACAATGACAGAATGTTAGCATTATTGTTATAAGAACATTATCACCTATATGTTAGCATTTGCCCTGAGGAACTCACTGCCTGTAGTCTCACAAATCTGTTAACGTGGCATTAGACTTTTTATGTTAGTCCTAAAAATTGAAAATTGACCAAGGCTTTCTAACTAAATATAATCTAGAAGAGAACAGATGAAAATTGTGAAGATTTGAGAAACACCACCTGAACAGGCCAGAGTGTACATCACTCATGCAGAAGAGTTCATTGTCCTAACTTGCTAATAATCCTTTGACAAGTAGACTAAATGTCATTAGTCTATGAAAAAGCAAACTACCACTACAGTACCAACCCTTGTAACCCCCTTTTTGAGACATTAGTAGACCTTTGTAATCCATCATTTAAATATTTGAGGGCAGTCATATGTTGACGGTTATGATTTTCATGTTTTATGTCTGCATTTGCATTACCAGCTATTACCTTATAGCAACATTAGACAAGTTATGGAGCTTTTGGATTTGCAAGTGAGACTAAATATGCACTAATTTGAGGCACAATTTCCCAGCGATCTGTGCACTATACTTTGCCATGTACACTCCAACTGTAATGTCAGTAACCTGCGTCACACTTGAGATATGAATCTGCACTATATGTTTCAGTTCTGTGGGAGGAAACAGAAGTTATGTCTGCCCTAACAGCAGATTTAAAAAAGCTACCTCTGTTTTAACAGCAATGGAGCTTGAAAATATGCCAACATACAGACACACTCCTGAGAGACAGGATCAAACTGACAGCAAGACTGAACTGAAAGTGGTTCAGTTTTTGTTCTGCTTGAGTTACGTTTAAAGAGGTAGTGACATAAGACAAAGACGTTTAAGATGAAAGTGGGGATGAGTCAGGAAATACAGCACCTGGCAGGACGTTGATGATGAGGTTCTGGTCTTGCGTCCTACAGCACTCCTGCTTGAACACACACAAATGGAGGCGTATGAAGACAAGAGTAACTATTCAGTTTTCCTGCAAAGAAACTAGGAACAACATGCTCACACACTCTGAACACACTTACCCACCCTCAGCGTGTGGTTCCTCCTAGTTTTCTGTCTTTGTATATGTGAGTATGTGCGTGTATGGTAGGAATGCAGAGGAACTTCCCAGTGGCTGCAGGGTGTGGATGGTTGTTTGGTGTATATTCAGGCTCCTCCCTGCTTTACTGCTGCTGCATCTCAGGGTCCTACTGCACCACCTGCCAATGCTTCCTCTGTGTTAACCATGTCAGTGTGAAAGACACCCACACCTCAGGATGTTCCTGGGTTCCTTAAATTCAACACCTGCAGATTTTAGCACTGCTGACCTTCAATATACAGAAACAATATTTCCAGTTCTTCACACTAGGCCACAGTGCTCAGGTCTATAATAATGATATTCTGAGTAAATCAAAACACAAAAACACAATGAACAAAGTGCAACAAAGTGTAGCATCATCATTCAGACTCATCCCAGGTCAATACGATAATTCTACAGCAGCATATTGCAAAATAACAGCTGTCATTTTACTATAATTTAAAGGGAAACAGGACATTTACTTGCTGTTAGAGTAATGCAACTAGTAGCCAGTAATGTATTGCAGAACAGCCTCATCTGTACTTTGTGTCAAAGTGCTGTAAGATTTGAGTCTTATAGACTCTAGTTACTTTATAAGCTTTAGTTACTTCTCATACCTTTAGTTCCCTTTAGTTCAGGGGTCGGGAACCTTTTTGGCTGAGAGAGCCATGAAAGCCACATATTTTCAAATGTATTTCCGTGAGAGCCATATAATATTGTTTTACACTGAATACAACTAAATGCGTGCATTTTTAAATAAGACCAACTATTTTACAGTATAATAAGTCTCTGGATTTATTCTTTTTAATAACGTTGTTAGACTGAAGCTAACCACTAATAAATAAAATACTTTAATTACATTAATGTGACTTCTGCTGCTGCATGGTTTTGCTGCTGGCTTTGTAGTCTGGTTGATACGTGGTGAGGTTAAGCTTCATGCAGGCGTTGAGGCTTCCATCTGTTAAACGTGATCGTAGGTTGGTCTTGATGTTTTTTAGATGTGAGAACGACTGTTCACATGCATACGTAGAGCCAAACATGGTCAATATGGCAATACTCACGCTGCAGTGTGTGGTATGTGACAGGAAGCGCGTTCCAAATTTTGACAATCAGCTGGTCTGCGGGTTGAAGTTTTTTTCATTTCTGTCCACTTGTGTTTGCTCGCCAGCTCTGCTTGCTGTCGTGCAAGTCTTTCCAAATCTTCATTCAGTGACTTGAACTTATTCACCCACATGTCTGAGGCCTTCAGGTCAGTAACCTCTACCTCAAAATCTCTGGAGACACCAGGGATGTAACTCATGTCAGCTTTGTCCACTGCACACTCGTGTGGATGAGTGATGAACTTAAAAAGACATGTGCTCATAATATTCTCCAAAGCGTGCTTTGAATGACTGCAGGAGATTAGATGTGAAGCCAGCTAGCTGCTGGAGATCAAAATGTTGAGCGGGGTCACTTGCTGTGCACGCATCTTTAAATTCTCTCACTTTTTCAAAGTGTAATAAACCACCTGTTTCAATATCCATGATAAAGAGTTCCAGCTTGTTTTCAAATGCAAACACTGCTTGTTGAAGGGATAAGACTGTATTTCCAATGCCTTGCATTTTCACATTGAGCTGGTTCAGATGTTCAGTCATGTCCATGAGATAGTAAAACTTCAGGAGCCACTCAGTGTTGGGTAGCTCAGGATGCTCGACGTCTTTCATTTCAAGAAAAGTCCGGATTTCACTCAGGCAAGCCGCAAAACGGCTGAGCACCTTCCCTCTTGACAACCAACGCACATTGC